CACATTTTTCTCCCAAGCACTTACCCCAGCTTGCAATTATTTATTCTACATTCTATCCGCCTGCTTAACTAAAACTCGGGTTTCTGCTTCTCCTCAGCACTATTCACTGGGCACAATGCAGGCACTCAATAGGCAGCTATCTGTTGAATGAGGGAATTAAACCCCACGCTTGCCCCATGTCCCCCCAGCTGCTGAGAGGCAGAGGGAACTATATACCCAAAGGGTCTGGCTCCAGGGCTGTGCCATGGCCACTATCCACTCTGCAGGGTCGCCATTCCCTGGCTCCAATCCCAACGGTAGGCAGGAGAGATGCCCAGGTGCACTGGACAGGCAGTCTGAGCAGGCCTCAGGAGAGCAGCTTGCAGCACCGCCCATGCTCAACTCCTTACTTTCCATTCTGCCCTCAAAGCTCTAGTTCTAGCTCTAGCTTCTCAAATAGTAACAATAATATCCTAATGTTTGAGTCGCAAAGGATTTTCACAGTTATTGCATGAGTGAATCCTTGCAAAGGCCCTAGGAGGTAGCAGCTGCTATTATCCCTTGAAGCAGGTGAATACCAGCCATGTGCCCAGCATGGCTTCTTTGCTCACTCATTCCTCATCATCAACCCGCACAGCTGTAGGACCACTCTGGGGCTCTGACATTAGTCATCCAGAGCCCAGCCACCACATCAAAGCCTAAGAGAGCAGGAGGTGCTCTCCCTGCCAGAAGGCAATCTCCTGTACACGCAGGTCTCTGCTGCAGGGGACCACAGTGGCCGGCTCAGGGAGCCCAGGTGATCCAGGCCCTGATGGCAGATACGGCTTCAGTGGCCCCTAACCTCACTCACCACAGCCACCGTCCGATCATTATTAAGAATTCCAGATAGGCTCCCCAGACCATTAGGCTTGAGTGCCTGGGCAGTCTCCCTCACGCATGACTTCCAGACTCAAAGAGTTGAGCCTCGAAAAGGTGTGGGTATCCCAGGGCTCTCTGGCATACATAGAGAGAGGCGGGGTAGACAGATGGGAGGGAAAGAGGGTGGCAGGAGAACAGGCCCATGATCTGACAAGCAGCAGAGTGTGCTGGGCCTGGGAGAAAGCAGAAATCAGCAGGCCTGCCCAGGGGTCTGCCCACCACTCCTCTCCATGGGTGGTGATCTGCCAGAGGCCCTGCAGAAGCACCCACAAGGGAACCTGCCACAGCAGAACACAAGTACCCGGGGTTGAGGGTGGACCATATCCATACATACCACACTCTCCTGTTCACATTCTCCTGGACAACCTAGTCCAAAAGACCTTTATTTATTTATTTATTTATTGTAAGACAGAGTCTTACTCTGTCACTGGCTGGAGTGCAGTGGCAACATCATAACTCACTGCACCTTCAAACTCCTGGCTCAAAGTGATTCCCTGCCTCAGCTTCCCAAGTTCCCTTCCCAAATCCGGCCAGGATTATAGGCAGCAAATTTTCCTATTTTTTGTAGACATAGGGCCTCACTCTTGCTCAGGCTGGTCTCAGACCCCTGGCCTTAAGCAATCCTCTCACCTCAGCCTCCCAAAGTGCTAGGATTACAGGCTAGACTTTTTAAATTAAATATATATATATATCCATCTGTGGAAGAAAAAAAAAGTTAACAGTGACCATAGCTGGGTCCCTCTGCACCTGGGCTCTACAAAGAGATGATGCCTCCAAGGCCTCCTCTACCACCTCCCCCAGGTCCCCTCTGTATTTTTATTGTTCCATTACAGTGAATTATTGAGCGTTCCTTCCCCACCCAGCCCACCAGCCCCACAGCCGCTCTGGCTGAACCAATTTCCTTGGCACCTCAGGGGCCTACCCAACCTCTTCCCAGAAGTCCCTGCACAAACCAATGACAATTTCTTTCCACGTGGGGGGACAGGGCTGGATCTGCAGTTAGGAATATGTGATCATAAAGTTGCCGGGCCTCACAGGCTGCTGCAGAAACTGCCCAAAGGACAAACGGCAAAGGCACAGCTGCAGTCTATAAAAACTTCACAGCCTCAGAAGCAGCCGCTGTCTCAGCTAATACCGCACGACACCCATATTGATTAGAGAGCATTTGCCACAGTGATTCTGAGTCAGCTGGGTCTCACCAAGGCCTCTGTCAGGGTGTTCTTTTCCTCTTCAAATGGCTCTCCACAAGCTGCCTGGTGAGAGGGCAAAGAGCAGACCTCCTCCTCTCCCCAAGACAACTCATCCCTGGGTTCCAACTGGGAAGTCCCCAAGGGAAAATTCCAGATGGAGAAAGGCCTTGCTGAACCTTGCCAACCTCCCTTCCCACCCTAAGTCCCCATCACACCCACTGGTCACGGCATGTTTCAGACCCATGGACAAACTGGGCCACTCGCCCGCATCGGACCAGGCGCACACACAGCTGCTGCTTTTTGCTCACGTTGCTCCCCCGCCTGTACTGCATGCGCTCTCTGCTTGGCAAAATCCAGCCCTACCCTGATAAAAAGGATAAAGAAAGCCCTTTCCTTTGGAAAAGCCCACTCAGAGCAGAAAAAGCATGTTTCTCACCCTCTATGTTCCTACAGTCCATTTCCAAGGCTACCTGGCCTTCTCTTGGGAGCTCACAGTCAGGAGTCCCTTGCCCAGTCCTCTAGGCCATATGTCCCTTGAGAGTAGGAACAGGCACTCTCACTGCTGATGCCTAACCCCCAAGACAGTTCTTGGCTCCATAAACATTTACTGAACTAAAATAACAAGACTTGTCTCCCAGCTGGCACGGTGGCTCACACCTGTAATTCTAGCACTCTGGGAGGCTGAGGCAGATGGATTGCCTGAGCTCACAGGTTTGAGACCAGGGTGAGCCAGAGAGAGATCTCATCTCTAAAAATAGCTGGGCATTGTGGCAGGTGCCTGTAGTCCCAGCTACTTGAGAGGCTGAGGCAAGAGAATCACTGGAGCCCAAGAGTTTGAGGTTGCTGTGAGAAATGACACCATGGCACTCTACTGAGGGTGACAAAATGAGACTACCCCCCCCAAAAAAGACTCCTTTCCCTACCCTATTCTAATAATGGCTCTCACTCAGCATCAGAACATGCCAGGCACTTGAGTTATCTTCCATCCTCCCCAAAACCAGAGACCTTACATATCCCCATCCCCAATTTCCTGACGGAAAGCAACTAAGGCTCAGAGAAGTTAAGTAACTTACCCAAGGTCATGCAACTAACAAGTGACAAAGCTGGGGCTCCAACTCAGGTGGTGTGACTCCTGGAGCCCCAACTCTTTCCTCCATACTAGGAAATTTCACTTCCATCACCCTGATCACAAAAGAGCTGAGGAATTCATGGAAGTCAAAACAGATGCTGTCCAACATGAAAGGTGGTAAGAGAGCAAGGATGGAGATGGCTTCAAGATTCAAGATCCGAAAGCAAAGGAGAAAGGCAAATGCATCTCAGATCTAGGCTGCTCCCAGAGTAACAGCTGCAGGAGAAACACCCCAGTGGTAAGGCCAGGGGAACAGGAAGGAGGTGCAGAGGGAATAGGCATGGAGGGTGACTGGGCCACCTCAGGGCTCCTCTGGTTATGTTTCTGACCTTCAGTTCCTCTCCACATCCACAGAGGAGGATGCACAGGCTGCCCCAAGGAAATTCAGTTTGGCTCCATATCTCTCCAACCCCCTCCCCCCCCACACACACACTCAAGCACACACGCTGATTCCCATCAAAACCGTAAATTCCCTGAAAACTGCACAGGACTTTTTTAGACTCATTCAAGAAGAGTGTGGGGCAAATGTGCGCTCACTAATTGCTGGCCTCAGTAGTTTGATCCAGGAGATAGCTCTCCTCAGCGTCAGATTTCTGTCTCTGACCGGCTGGGAGCTGTAGAAATGTACTCAAAAGTTACCAAAATATGTATGTCTTTCCTGAGAGCCACTGCAGTCGTGAGGAGTGTGAGAAGGAGTAGGTAGGTTTCAAAGGAGCCAGCAGCCTCTCCAAAGCCTTGTTCAAAAACCTCCTGGTGCAGTCACCTCTGTGAGCAGTACAAAAGCCCTGCATGTGACCAAAAATCTATACACCCAGCCCACGTACAGGGACTCTCATGGCCTAATACTACTGAGGTGGCCCCATAATACTAGGAATTCACACAGACACACATTCTGCTGGAGAATCACTGAAAGCACACACACACATCCTACAAAGCTCAGTGGGTCTAGAAAGGGTTGAGTTTCCTCAAGAATTCATAAGTGAAAGAAAAGAGAAATGTTGTTTTACGACTTGTTAACTTGTCATGGTCAATGTCTTTAACCTTTGCCTCCATCTCCAAGCTCCTGACCTCTTGGCATTATTCATGGGGCTGCCCATCCAGGAAACACCTCCCTATCTCTGGGTGCTGAATGTTACATACCCCAAGCCCCAGATCAAAAGCCTGTCAGGTCCTATTGTCTGCCTGGGTTGGGGATGGCTGGATGTGAGTGGGGGGAGATGGGAGACCAATGCCTGACACCTGCAGGGGAAAAATTCTCAAGGCTCTGGGGCAAACAATGGGGGGGGGGGGGGGGGCGACCACAAACTTCACCTCCATCCCACTCTGCAGCCCATCACCAGTCTGGAAGCTGCAAATCCACACAACTGGCTCAGAGCACAGCCAGGGCCCATGTGCCCAAAAGGAGACATTGTGCCTGGTGAATAAGAGAAGCTACTCTCCTGGGTGCCAGGAGCTTTCTGGCACCAATTCGCAGGCACCCTGGAGGAATAAAGTGCTGGCGCAGTGGGAAGGGCCTGCTGGTGCAGAGCGCAGGATGCAGGTGTGAGGACAGGAGCTGACAACCCCGAGGGCCCTTTGGATCCCGAGGAAAGGGAAACAGCAGAGCTCCAGGCTCCAGGCTCTTGGTTTGGAGGGGGAAAAAAAACCTGGCAGACGTTGACCGGTCTATGGGCTCCGGACTCCGGGCCCCAACGGTCCTGCCTCCACCCCCGGCTCTGAATTGCGTTTGGGGGAGAGGATAACCCCGGGGCTCCAGGAGCTCTAGGGATAGGGGCCATACTCACAGCCGCTCGGTGTTCCGTGGGATGTTCTTGGGGATGGCCTGCAGCCCGGTGCCGTGGCAGTCCACCGTGGTGCCCGTGCAGGTGCAGAGGGCGGGGCACCCCGTGGCACCCAGGCGCCACGCGGCTGCCCACAGCAGTAGCCAGAGCTCCGGCCGGACCAGCCCAGCTGAGGACCCCCACCTGGCCATCAACGCCATGGTGCCCTCACCGCGTCCCGCTTGAGAGCCAGACGACGGCAGCCCCTGACCATCCCCGTCCGGGGCCGCCTCCAGGTGCCGTCCCCGGGCAAAGCCACTAAAAGAGCCTACGGACTGGTGCACTGCGCCCTTGCGGGCTGGGAGGCACCTTGCTCCGCCAAGCGACGGCGCCTGTGCGCGGACGGAGGGAGGGCGCCTTGGGTGGAGGGCGCTCGGCTCCTCTCCTGTTTCGCTGCCTGCGTCTCCCTCTCCCTCCCTCCAGCTCCCAACTGACTGCTGCGAGGAGGAAAATGGGCAGGCCCCGCGCGCGCACGCACCCCGCGTGCACACACACACACACACACACACACACGCTCACACCCGCACGCTCGCTCCCACCCGGCAGTCATCCATCAATCGAAAAGCTCACATCCAGGGCCAGGCTCCTCCCAGACCCCCCACCGCCCCCTCCTCCCGACCACAGCCCCGCCGCTGAGAGCCGAGTACAGTTTCAAAGGTGGAACCTCAGAGGCGCCGCCGGCGGGCAGGGGGCTGCCAGGGAAGGGAGGGGTCCCGGCTTTACACACTTACGCACACGGCGAGGATGCTCACACTTAAACACGCGCACCCCAGCACCCGCGGCCCCAGCCGCCCGTCCAGAGGGGGGAGGGGATCTTATTTAGCCGCTTGGACGCCTTCCCCAGACCACAGACAGGCTTTCCCCGACGGCAGAAGCGGCTCCCAGGTCCCACGGGACTTGCTTTGTCAATTTTTGGTAAAGAGAAGCCCCACTCCCAGGTAGGCATCTCCAAACCACCTATCTTACTTAGCCTGGGGCCTTGAGAGTGAGGTCTCAGGTAGGGTGGGGTGAACAAAAAGCCTTAGACCAAGTACACCCTCTCCCTGAAAAACACATGTTCTCTGCCAAGATGGCAGTACTCACTTCTCAGAGGGAACAAGCCAGCTCCCCACCCAGGATGAGAGTGACCCTGACTCAGACGTTTGCACAGCAGGACGCATTTCTACCCTGGGCCACTACCTCTACCCTGGCTGCTGGAGACAGAGGCGAGGTATCAATGGGAGTTGGAAGTCCAGTAAACATCTTCCTCCACTCATGCCAATATTCTTCCATTTCTGACAGGTGAAAACAAAAATTCAGTCCCTATATCAAAGGCGACAGAGTAGGCTGGAACAGAGCAGAGCCAGCCTGGGAGGGACACACGACAGACCCACCCATTTGGGATGCAGGCCTTACATCCTGCTGGGCAGGGACTCTGTGCACTCTGAGGCAGGTGTGGACTGTGGGCGTGACTGGGAGACGGAGTGGGGGATGGAGAATTCTCCTCAACTCCAGAAAAGATGAAGGAGCTCCCCAAAACCAAGGACACTGTGGCTTGCTAGGGTTCTTCAGAACCAGGCATTGTCCATCATCATGGTCCTGATGTCCACCTGCCACAGCCTAGGAAGGGGAAAGGGCTAAGGAGATCTTGAAATGCTTCCCCCATGGGAGCAGGGTCTGGTCCAAGAGGTACCGAAGCAGGCACAGTATGGATGCAATGTGTGTGTGCGTGTGCATGCTCCCATGTGTGTGCATGTGTGTATCTGTGTGTGTGCGTGCCTGTGCGTGGTGAGGCACACGATGTTAAGAGGCTCTATGGGATTGAAGCCTTACCACCCACCACGTACCCAAGGCTCCAGGGTTTTTTATTTTTCTTTTCCATCTTGATGCAAATTTTGCAGTATCCCTACCATCGTGACACAAATACAACTGTGTCCAGTATGCACAGCTTATGTGGCTGATCTTATGGGCTTCTAACAGTTCTTTTGAAAGTTTTCACACATCCCGGTCCATGAGCTCCATCAATTCAATAACTCGGGGGTGCCTGTGTGGTACAACAAGACAGAGGGAACCTTCCCACAAATCAGGCAGAGTCTGACAAGGCTGCATCTCCCCTTCTCCTCACTAGCTCCTGCTGCTGCTCCACGGGGCCCTCCCAGCAGCCTCAGGCAGAGTTAAATCCTCCTTAGCTGTGCTGTGCCCAGCTGCTTTGTTTATCCCCTCCAAGCTGGGGCTGTTTACACATGCGGCTCTTTCTCCACACTTGGGGCAGAGCCCCACCCCACCCTACTCACCCTGGCTTCCTCACTTCCTCACTTGGGCACTTGCCCCAGCACCTGGCACTTAATAGGCCTGTCACAGACGCCATCAGACAGTTGAAGTCTCCAACCTTCCACCCCAGTGGTATCTCCTTGGCCCATGACCTTGGAGGGACCCTCAGCAGCCAGAACCCATGTGGGGAAGGGAGAAAGTGTTAATTAGCTGGGCGGGATGCCCTGAGGTCCTCAGAGTGGCAGGGTGAAGGGGCATGAGGAGGGGTGAGTGTGGGAAGGGGGTCCAAGATCAGCAGTGTCTGTGGCTTTTGAAAGCCAGCCCCCTTCTTCCAGACCAGCCTGGAGAGTGAATCCCCACAAAGACCCTAAGCCAACTTATCACAACCTGGCAAAGTCTGGCCTCTCCTTTGAAGGGAGGGGGAAAAGGAGCCCCCCCCAGACCCAGGACAAAAGCTCCCCCCCAGCAGCCTATCAGGGAGGCCCTGACCCAGCAGTGGGGCAGCCCCCCAACTTGGCTCCCCTCCCCAGCTCCTCCACCCCAGAACCTGGCCAGCTCCCCAACTCAGGAGGCAGTTCGCCATGAATGAACGCAGCTCATTAGCGGTCCCAGCACATTTACTCCTTAAACAACCACCTGGCCAGCAACACACCCCTAACCCCCCCCCCTGCTTTTTCAATTTCCTCTCCCCTGCCCCTCCCTCTGTTGGGTCCCCCTACCCCCTCCCTACAGCCTGGCCACCTGCTCCCTCTGCACGGGTGGGGAGGAGGCAGGCCTGGTGCATTGCTTCTGCCAGGAATGCTCCACCAAGCCTGGCTCTGCCCACCTGCCACCAGCAGTGCAACCCCCAGGAGAGAAACTTAGGGTTGGGTCTCCCCATCCCAGTGGTGTGATTCTTCCCTGAATCCCCTCAGCCATGTGTATTCGGGAGTTGAGGGCCACCTCCTGCCTGGGACTAGAGGAGGGAGTCCCCGCCTTCTGGCTTCTGCACAGCTCCTCTCCTTCAGCTCCTTCTGGAGCACCAAGAAGATGGAGACCCTGGGTGAGGCTGAGGACCACTGTGGTGTGGATTTCCAAACCACAAAGACAAGCGTGAGACAGAAAGCCTGAATCGCTAAATACTACTTTCTGAGGGTCTATATACTGTGTACACTGTATTGGAACTTGGTAATTCAGCTGGGAATGAGAATGACCCTGGCTCTCAGTAAGCTCACAGTCCAGCATGGGCACGGAGAGAGGAAACAGGAAAGCCCGCTCAGCATGATTAAGTTCGGTGACAGGGAAGGGAGAATTGCAGAGAACTCAGAGTGAAGGTCACAGAATGGAAGAGGAGGTACTTGAGCGGAGTCTTGAAAGGTAAACAGGCATTGGCTGGGCAGCAAAACAGGAAGACAGGCTTTCCTGGCAAAGAGAGCTGCATGAGGCCAGGCACACAGACCAGGACCAGCACCCTTAATGGCTGAGCTTCGGCAAGTGCAGTAGGGCTGGATTACAGGAGGGGTTCATGTGGGGAGCACGGGAGGAGGTTATGGAGAGGATGGGAGCACAGCTCAGAGGCCCTAATGTAGCCATCCCCTGCTTTATTCAGCGTCAGCATCCCTAGACTGTCCCTGTGTTCAAACATATGCCTATACATGTGTGTGCTGGGAAATGCAGTCTCTGGAACCAGTGTCTCGAGCACCTGGTTCATTCCAGGGCAGGGACCTGGGAGGTCGCAAGAGACAGTTCCAACAGTTCCAATTTTTTTAATTGATTAGATTTTTCATTCTGTGTAGTATGACCTGCCCCCACCAATACATTATGTACACCCCCCCTGGGGTGCTTATGATACATCCTGGTTCCTGTGACCCACCCCCGACCTCTATAGTCAGAATCTTCACTGGTAGCAAGATGGAGGGGGCAGTGGGGGGGGGGGTTGCTGTTTGTAAGGAGGTGTGATTCTGATGCAGGTGGTTCTCAGAGACCATGCTCTAAGAATCTGGCCTGGTGTGCTGAGTTAATGAATTTGAACTTCTCTGAAGAGCCATTAAAGGAAAGGGCCTGGCAGGGACAAAAGATCTGAGGTCCACTGGTCTTCCTCCCTCTAGATTCCACATAGCAAGGATGTGGCACATCAAAGAGCTGTGGGCAGCAAAACAGGGAGACAGGCTTTCCTGGCAAAGAGAACTGCATGAGGCCAGGCACACAGACCAGGACCAGCACCCTCAATGGCGGAGCTTCCGCAAGGATGTGGCACATCAAAGAGAAAGATAGCCAAGTGGGAATGGGGGAGGACAGGATGTCAGCGCTGAAAGGCAATAAATAAATAATCAAATCCAAATGCCATGATACAAGCCAGGTGTGGTGGCTCACGCCTGTAATCCCAGCGTTTGGGGAGGCCAAGATGGGCAGATGACCTGAGCTCATGAGTTCGAGACCAGCCTGAGCTAAAGCAAGACCCCATCTCTAAAAAAAAAAAGGCATGGCATTATGGTAGACACCTATAGTCCCAGCTACTTGGGAGGCTGAGACAAGAGAATTGCTTAAGCCCAAAAGTTAGAGGTTGCTGTGAGCTGTGATGCCAGGGCACTCTACCAGGGGCAACAAAGTGAGACTCTGTCTCAGAAAATAAAAACCAAATGCCATGATACAGTTGGGGGCCCATAGAAATGAGGCACTCGGCTCGGTGCCTGTAGCTCAACCGGCTAAGGCGCCAGCCACGTACACCTAAGGTGGCAGGTTCGAATCCCCAGCCCAGACCCGCCAAACAACAATGACGGTAGCAACCAAAAAAAGAGCCGGGCGTTGTGGCGGGTGCCTGTGGTCCCAGCTACTTGGGAGGTGGAGGCAGGAGACTCGCTGGAGCCCAGGAGTTGGAGGTTGCTGTGAGCTGTAATGCCACGGCACTCTACCCAGGGGGACAGCTTGAGGCTGTGTCTCAAAAAAAAAAAGAAATGAGGCACTCAGCCTAACTGCACATGACAAAGAAGCTACAGCAGTGAGCCAAGAAGGAGGATGGATCTTGCTCTGCTGGGCCACACACCTGGGTAAAGCACAACAGCCAATCTATCCTGGGCACCCCTCTTGACCCTGACACCCACAGAGTGACTAAGAAACTGGGAGATCTGTGTCAGCAGGACTCTGGGCATTTTAGCTTTAAACTCTAAATCCCT